TTGCACGTACGGCACGCTGCTGCTTATACGTCGGCTGATTTATTTGGCTGACGTGTCTGTTTCCTTATGTGTGCGTATACGTTACAGGTCTTATTTGATACCTTCTGTTTTGTCCGCTTCCCGTCGATTATTATTTTCGACGTGCCTGATTATTAATACTGCTGTATTTTTCAGGTCTTCCTCCGAGTAGTTCCTGACGGTCCTTCGGCGCGATCCCACCGCTGCCACCAATTTTGTTGTGTGCCTCGGGTGAGACACAAGGGGTCGCGCCAAATTAGGATGAGGATCCGGGGCGTCGAGACTTATTTCGGGTTGATGAAATAAATGAACTTTACTTTTTATTATTAAAACTTTTATTCAAGTAAACCGCTTGACTTTTATTTATTTTACCACTGTTACACTTGTGAGTATATCGATTTAACGGCACTGTTTAACTATAACTTCGCGTTTCGTTCGCGATTGCGAAAAAATGTTATATATCGCACGCGGCTAGCGAGGTCATTTAACTAACGACGCGAGAGTGACTTTACGACTGAGCGGCGCGTCTCCTGCTTCGTTTTTATAGTATCACTTTTTGGGATTTCCTCGATCGGAAGGGGTGCCTGGCAACAGGCCCGCTCGGTCAAGGACCTAAGTGCAAGCGAAGCAGATTCAAAGTCCTTCTGCTTTGCTTGCGCGTTGAGCAATTTCGGTTCCGCATATATCTCGCATCGTATGCGTTTTTACGCGGTCAGTGTCCGTCGTCAAGCGGATGTAATACGAGTAATTATTTCTTAATAGTTATATCTCTTAGGGATATAACAATATTTTAATTAATTAATATTCTTAACCTATAAATGTTAGCTATTAAATTTAACTATCACAAAAATCTATATAAATGCTAATCAAAATTAGAATTATGCCAGCAAATTAAAAAGGATTCTGAGAATATTTAATCACTAATTTTAATCAATCGTCGACTAAACTTATTATTATCCTACTAGATATAAGAAATACATATACACACATTTGCATAAATATGTTAATTATTCCACTAGAGATGTCCATTTACATCCATTCAAGTATAAAAAGTATATATATATATATATTGTGACGTGACAAATTGAAATTGTCCGTCACAAGGGCTGAATGGCCCGATCGGGGGAGGGCACGGGACCTCTGCTCTCCCGAGACAGCGAGAGAGAGAGAGCGTGCGTGCGAAAAGCGCGGGACCGGACGCGATCCCGCTGCTACGCGTTTTCGTATATTTTTTGTTGTTAGGAGTTTGTTTTGAGAGTTAGGATTATTTCGGCGGCAGACAGGATGTGCGACGAGTCTCAGCCGAGAGAGAAACCCTGGAGGAAAGATAGGAAAGCATGGGAAGCAGGACGACGGGGACCCCCTTCGTCAGGGACACGCTCGGTAAGCCCAAGATCAAAATTTCTTCACCGAATATCCGACAACGGAGTAGGTGCCACTGCCTCAAAATTTGTACCTTCCAGGAGCGAGCAGGGGATGGCCACTCGGGTGCAACAAGCACCCGAGTCCCCGCATACGGAGCGCCGGCAGGAGAGCTGCCGCCCCCGGGACATCCGGAATCCCGAAGGAGAGCAAGGAGCGGCCCTGCCGTGCGCTGCCGCGACGACCGCCTACGAGGGGCAACCCGCGGATCAGGACTCCGCGGGTAAGGATAATTACGCGCGCGGCCGCAAGGATCACCGAGGCCGCGCGCGCGGCCGACCTGATAGCGCCACGAGTGGCCTATCTAAGTAATTAGGTCACCGACGTGTCTCCTGAGGGCCCCCGGTTCGGCACTGTCTAGCGAGCGCCCGAGGAGAGCAGAAGTCCCGAACGGAAGCGCAACTCAGAGAGAGCGAGAGAGGAGAGGACGCTAAGGAACGTCATAGGACTGGTGAGACGACGTGGTCATCCTGCTGTCGCCGAATTAAGGTAGCAGGGTGGATGGGTTCCGAATCATTTATCGTTAATAGATTACGCTGGACTTAGTTGCCGGCCGTTTTAAAATTTGCGAGAGATTCGTTTATTGTCGAGTCGCGTTAGTAACGTAACGAGACCCTATTGGGAGAAATTACGACCCATCCACTCTCTCGCGTTTCCGCATATTCTCTCTCCCGCGTGGACAGTCTTCGCGCGTACCCTTGTCGCGCGAAAATTACCGTGATTTACGCGTTGCCGAATATTGTTCGAGACGAAAAATCAAAGAGCTCATAAACGCTTTCGGGCTTATTAAAGTATTGATGTGTAAAGTATGGATGTCGTAAAGTTTTGAGGTTGTAAAGGCTTAAAAGAAAAGGCGTGATTACGTAATTTTGTGTATGAAATTGATGTACGGCGCACGCGGTGCGCCCTTACGCCGGCCCCTTTGTTGTCGCGCATACCGCGCGGATCACGCGCCCGCGGCGTGGAGTAATATACCCGGTGGCGCATCGCCGATTTAATTAATCATTCTTTTTGGTTGTTATGGGAGACACTACCTCGTTGCCGCGAATTAGTTAAATATTATTCATAACTCGGCACGGTGAACCACCGGTCGTATTGCTTCACCAAATTCTCAATCGTGCGTCAGTGCACGCCGCTTATTTCTGTATATTATATACTCATGTGTCTTATGAACAAGATTTAAATATATGTTTTATTAACTTTAATTCCTCGGATGATTTCTCGCCGCCACGCACCCGAACCCTTACCCGAACGGAGGCTAGCCGAGCGGGAAAGTTGCCGTCGCGATCTCTCTCTCTCCCGTGATTGACGCCCGTGAAAGGGCTTGGACAAATAAGTCCGAGTAAATTAAGACTTAGCATCCCGCGAATTTATTAATTGAGAGACGGTGCGGCTGCCGCACCTGGCGCCCAACTAAATCAAGATTTTAGCTTTCTTTTATTTTTTTTTGTTATAATTTTTTTTGTGATCAGACGGAGAGATCGCGCCGAAGGTAACCGATATTCTGCAGGGGACCTTTCTCCTTACGCGACGAATTGATATTCGCTGCGAATTCCGCGCGATACGGTATATATATATATATATATATATATATATATATATATATATTCGCGTATAATATAATATCTCTCATAATATATAATATATAATATCACTCACTCTAAGCTCGTGTGCTATTTTTAATTCATTTATAAAATTAAGAGTAATTACTTACTAAAATCGTAAGAAATGAAAGATTAAGTGACTGACTAAATTTATTAATAAAAGATTAAGTGACTGACTAAATTTATTAAGATATCATAATAATGGAACTGAATTATTTCCTCTAAGCTAATTGATTGTGACGACGACTCTGATGGCAAAAGATTAGGTTAGGATATATGTACACATAAGTTTTCCTCATTATTATAATATCAATGTAACTACATAAGGCACCCATAATGCATTTAGAATAATGTAAATTAATAAGTTAATTTAAAAATATCCTCTAAATTAATACAATTTGTTAGATATATATTTATGTCTAGATTATTTTCTATTAAGTTAGATCACTACACACTATACAATTTATTACTATTCAGTTAGTATATTTGTATACTTTATATTGGTATTTTTATTTTGGTAGTTCTCTGGCCGTTAGGTTTGCACGCCTGCTTCTTTACGCGGTAATCGAGCCTGAGATATATATACTTACTTCCTCCTCTTCTTTTTTGTTCTTTGTCGTATAGTTCGATAATACAACGTGTATTAAAATTACAAGACTTAAACATTATTATCCTGTTTCCCGACAAAAACTTAACACAATTAACAAAGGGACGACTATATTAAAGTCATAAAATTAGAATCTACACTTCATTCCTCTTGACCAATAGAGCCACACGCGATGTTATTGCGACAATTAAGAAAGAAAGAAAATTTGGAAACTAAGGAATTTGAATCCTATGGTTGGGATCTCAGAAATTCCCCTTGTTTCTTCTCTTAATTTCCCCTGTAAAGAAATAGGCGAGAAAAATATTGGTCCGAATGTCGGCTGAATCGGGAAACGAACCCGAAACCTTCCGCTTGCCGGGCGACTGCTCTTCCAACTGAGCTATTTAGACACTTACGAATCAATACTTTTCTCAATGTTTATATCCCCCAAAGCGTCGTAATTAAGTCCAGACGCGACGATTCCCGATTCAGCCAACTTTCGGACCAATATTTTTCTCACCTGTTTTTTTACAGGGGAAGTTAAAAGAAGAAACAAGAGGAATTTCTGAGATCCCAACCATAGGATTCAAATTCCTTAGTTTCCAAATTTTCTTTCTTTCTTAATTGTCGCAATAACATCGCGTGTGGCTCTATTGGTCGAGAGGAATAAAGTGTAGATTGTGGTTTTAAAATTAAGGAGCCGACTTAAAATATTCTTATCATAGAATTAGGTTAAGGATTCTTAAACAATATCGATGTGGCAACTAAGGAACTATATAATGTTGTGATTAAAATAATGAATATTTATATCCTTTAATCTAAGGGACCAATAATTTTAATGATAAGCTCGGGCCTCGTAAATAAATATACATAAGTAAATTATAAAATGCTTTAATCTCAGTATTAAGACTATACCATTATAATCGAAAATATATAGACAAAAAAAACAAAACAAAAAACACAACAAACATTTCTATCTTATTATTCTATTAGGATAAGGACTAAGGGAACATCGTAAACGCTAATTCTCCTATTCTCTTTAAATTATTGTTTTATGCAATAAATTATTAGAATTTTTTTTTCAAGGTTAAAATATAATTATATCCCTTAACTTAATCTAGCTGGGGCCCTATTCTTGAATGCATGCGATAATTGTCGCATGCGAAAAATATCGCACGGTCCGTATCGCATGCGACTTCAGAATCGTATTCTCAACTATCATGCGATATGAAGTCTGCGATAAATGTCGCATGCGAGAAAGGTTGTGTGTTCCGAAATTCTACGTACTGGAAATCTATAGTTTATGTCGCACATATTGTAGTGAATTTTGAAATTCATTGTCAGTCTAACCTAAATTTGTACAACGCAAGTTAAACTGTGTTAACAAAAATTCTGTGATCTTAGTTAAAATTGGTAAAGTGCAAATTTTGTTACAGTTAACAAATATATAATAATAGTGAAAATCGAATTAAAATGGCATTAGCATCAAATGAAGTGAAGAAACGATGTACATATGTTAATGAAGAACAGAAAAGTTTGCTGGTTGGTAAGTATTGCCTTCAATTTGTTACAGTCTAATAAAATTTGCTTTAAACTCTCTCATATTGAACTTGTTTACATTGAAAATTTGTAATTTGTATTTAAAGATATGTAATGGGTAAAAGCCGCTTAATAGATTGATAGTAACTATTATTTATTAATCTTTCAATACAGTGTTCTATAATATATATTTTAATTGCAGAATTTATGCGTAAACATCCAGAGCTACAGAGTGGAAAGTTTTCTACAACGTTTACTGATAAACATGCTAAAAAATTGTGGGAAAAAGTAACAGCAGAACTACATGAAATACCTGGTGCACAAAAAGAGTGGAAACAATGGCAAAAGGTATGTATTATATTGACAGATAGCAAAACTTCTTTTTACAGAAAGAAAATTATATACTTCAAATAATCTGATGGTCTACTTTCTGCCTATATCATAGACTTGGCAAGACATGCAAAGTTTCACTAAAGCCAAAAATGCTTTAATCAAGAATCATGCAAAAGCAACTGGTGAAGGGCCTGCATCAAGTCAAGTCTTATCTGAAACAGATCAAAATGTTCTGGCACTTATGGGTACAACAGTCGTGGAAGGACATAAAACAGTGCAAGAATCCAATGTGTTAATGGTAAGCAATCTTGTTGTATCATAATATAATATCCAAAACGTATTAGGAAATTATAACATTAAAACAGAAAGTATGCGTGTACATTAATATTTTTAGGAGTGGATAGGTGATTCAGTTGAAATCGACAATAGTGGAGATGAGGTAAATTTTCCCATGCAATACAACAGTCAAGATATAACGCAGCAATGTGTGTCACAACAGTCATTGTCTTTTCAAAATTATCATTGCAGCAGATTGGAAGAAAACTCACCAGAAAATCTTCAACAATAATAATGACAATTACAATGATAATAGAAAATCTTTAACAAAAAGAACAACTGCACTAAAAACACCAATCAATGTAGTTAACAACGCATCACATATTTCTGTAACCCCAATTTTAAAATTGACTGCCATACAAAAAGGTGTTAAAAGAACTTCTGCTGCACAAAGATATGACAAATCAATAGAACAAACTGAAAAGTTGGTGAAAATTTTGCAGGAAGATAGCGATCTACGAAAATCGTACTACGCAGAAAAATTAAAACTTTATACGAAGGAGTTAGCTCTGAAAGAAAAAGACATCATTACCAAAAAAAATATATGCATTGCTGGAGCAATTAATGAAAAAAAGTAATTAAAGGCTGATATAAGATATAGGCTGTGAAAATGGCAGTAGTGTATTGTCAAGTAAACAAATGTTCCTATAAGCTATTAACGTATAACAATTTTTACGTATGTTAAAAAAATTAATATTTATTTTATGTTAAAAAACTGAAAGATAAGAGATTCAGTTTATGTTCATTTGTATTCATTTTGTGTATTTCCATTATAAAGATAGAACTTAAAGATAAAAGATTTATTTTATGTTCAGTGTATGTCTATTATAAAGAAAGAACTTTGTTGAAGTGTCGGCGGGACTCAACAATTCTGGTCCTTCGAGCCGGATTGCGAGGGTGAGACAAAACTCTGAGACTTTTTACAGTGAGTAACCGCTCGTTAATTACATCGCGCCTATAGTGCGCGCACCCTGCCGCGCCCACAGTGCCGTGTACCGCACCCCGCACTTACCGGCTCTTCGACACGGGCCACGATCAGCTGTACGCGTCTTCTCTCTCTTTCTCGCTCTTTCTCTCTCTAACTCAAGCAGTCTATCGCGCCTCGTACCGCGCTTGTCAATCTTGCCGTCTCTCTTTTTTTTAACGCTCCGCGATGGATCTCGCAATTAAAAAGCAGATGAACACTGCCGGTTATATTGAGCGCTTCTGGGACAATCTAATTAAAGTCGACAAGGACAAAATGACACGCACGTATCTCACCACGCGCCTCGAGTTGCTCGAGTCATATTGAACGCGTTTCCTGGATGCGCACGATGCCATCCTCTCTTTCGAGAAGATAGACACTTCGGATTACATGCGGCAGGACGTTTACGCGGTGACCAAGGATAATTACGTAGCCGCGAAGTCGCGTATCACCTTCTTTATGCCGACGACGAGATCCGCGGACGGGCAAAGTGCCGCGAGTTCAGTGTTGCGCCAGATCCAGCTGCCGAAGATAAGCTTGCCGAGGTTTGACGGCGATCAGCTGGGTGGGAAGGCTTCCGCGACCTATTCAAGTCGCTGGTCCATGACGTGGAGGACTCACTTTCTCGCAGAAATTGCAGTATTTGAAGGCCAGCCTCAGCGGGGACGCGGAGGCCGCCGTCGCCAATATCGAAATCTTTTCCGACGGATACGCGCTGGCGTGGGACGAACTCGTGACGCGATATGATAATCGGCGAGTCCTCTGGCGATTCACATGCGCGTGCTACTCTCTGCCGCGTCGGTAACCAAGTCGTCATCAGCAGAAATCAACCGCCTGATTAGCGCGGTCAACCAGGCTTCGCGCTCTTCAGGGCAATGGGCCGCCCGGTGGAGCACTGGGACGACTGGTTCGTCCATATTCTGGTCGAGAAGTTGGATTCCGCCACCAGGCTATTATGGGAAAGCCATCGATCGAGTCGGGAGTTCCCTAATTTCGAGGAGCTCAAGGAGTTCCTCCTCACGCGGGCTCATGCGTTGGATGCCTCCAATCTGCGGATACCACCGATGACCTACAGTTCCGCTTCCAAACAGAAGCGTACGAGCCGCAAGGACGACGTCGCGTCTCACGCCATGGCTGCGGAGTGACCACAAGGGACGCCGTGCCCCCTGTGCAGGGAGCAACATCACATGCGCTCCTGCCCGAGATTCAAGGCATACTTGACGGAGCAGCGCCGCGAGCAAGTGCGCAAAAGGAAGGCCTGCTTCAACTGCCTGGGACAGGGTCACGCCGCCGGAGCTTGCCCTTCAATTCACCGCTGTCGCCACTGCCAGGGGAAGCATCATACGCTTCCGCACACGGAGCCGGAGACGACGCCACAACCTGCCGCTTGGGAGAAAACGAAATCCGACGACTCCGCTGACAAACCGGGTCCGTGGAGACGACCAAGGTCGCCGCCTTGACCAGTTCTATTTTCACGACAGTGCTACTCGCAACCGCGGTTATTCGAGTGTTTGGTGAATCGAGCCGATTGTTGAAAGTACGCGCTCTCCTGGACTCAGGATCGGAGGCATCCTTCATCTCGGAACGCGTAGCCCAGCAGCTGAGACTACTCCGCCGACGAGTGAACGTGACGGTTTCCGTTGCGAGCGGCTTTTCGCTGAGACTCACGCACGTGATGCGAAGGGACGCTACATCGTGCGGCTCCCTCGCAAGGAGAAACCCGACAAAGGAACTTGGGGCTTCCCGCCACGGGACCTTGCGAATGCTCCTCAGCACGGAACGCCGTTTGACGCGCGATCCGTCGCTCAGGGAGCGATATCACGACTTCCTGGCGACCTACGCCTCCTGCGGGCACATGGAACCGGCACCCCGCGGCGAGGCAATCGGCGAGCAATATTACCTGCCGCACCATGCGGTGGTGAAGGCGTCAGACCGGAAGGTAAAATCAGGGTCGTTTTCAACGCCTCCTTCCGGACCACCACGGGAGTCTCGTTGAACGACGTGCTGATCCCGGAACCGAAGCTGCAGGCGGACCTATGGCTGGTCCTCACACGCTGGCGTCTGCATCGATTCGTCTTCACGACGGACATCGTGAAGATGTTCCGACAGATCCGGGTGCATCCGCAGGACCTTGACCTCCAGCGGATCTTATGGGCTGCGTTCGGAAATCCTACCGTGGGGTAGGGTAGAGTTAAAGCAGGGTTAAAGCAGAAAACCCGGCTGGGTAATACGAGTTAGGCGATTTCCGAACGTACAAGGTAAACAAGTAAATGGCGACGTTCGGCGAAATCGAATATATTTTCACTTATAATAAGTAGACACCATTTATTAGAAATACTAACAAATTATACAAAATATAACAGAAAAAATGAAGTGTAGAAAGTGATGATGATTTTAGTGAAACTCTTTTAGTCGAAAATATCCAACAAATCCGAGGAAAACAACAGAAAACCTGCCCGGATAACAGGTTACGTGAATAAATATAATTCCTCGTTACACGACAAAGCAATTTCGGCATCATTTTCGAATGCTGCCTGAAGTTTTGAAATTCTTGAAAATCGTCTTAGACCGTCATTATCTAATGTCGAAACTGTAGGACGTCCAATGATACCTGTACGTACACAGCTTTTATCAACAATCTGGCTACTTAGCACACCAGATTCTTTCAGGTATATGGTAGTTTATATACATAATAGTTAAATATAAATAGCAGTGTTTATAATATCGTTAAGAAATTTTTTTTTATAAATTGTTCTTTTCAGATCTGTGAGCGAAAAATTTGATTTGGGGCAAATCTTCTTTGAACGACTGTGTGCGTCGTGTTGTTAAATTATTGTACAGCATTGCAAATGAAATAATTGTATGACCTACAGGCCAAAACTTAATAACTTCAAAGAGAAGTTTATGTCTATTGGACAAACCTCTATACCTGGCATAGTGGGAGCCATCGATGGCACTTTTATATTATAAAAAAAACCAGATATGAGGTATTTTCTTCTTTTAAATATTTACATTTTGTGTTATTTAAAAAGAAGTTAATATATATATAGTTTTTACTTAATTTTTATTTTATAGAAATTTGCTATTCACTACAAATGCCGAAAGCTACAGTATGCTGTAGTTCTTCAAGCTATCTGTGATGCAAAATTTACTTTTCACTGATTGTTTTGCTGGTTATCCAGGGTCAGTTGGGGACATACAGAGTTTTTCGCAATTCAGATTTATAGAGAGAGTTTGTAAAGATCCTCTGGTTTTTTTTCCTGATGGAAGAATTATTATTGGCGATAAAGCCTATCCTGTTTAACATGGTGTATTCCCCCATTTAGAAACAATGGCGCCTCACACAAGTAAGTCTAAAGATGTATATCTTTAAGAAATGTTTTGTAAAATGTTTTGCTTAATATATTTTTTTATTTATGTAATTGTTTATTTCAGCAGTAGAAAAATTCAACACTGCAATATCACAAAAGCGACAAGTTGTAGAAGAGCTTTTGCTCTATTAAAAGGAAGATTTAGGCGATTTAAGTTCCTTGATATGTCACGCCTGGACTTAATACCATATTTTATTATTGTGGCCTGCGTTCTTCATAATATCTGCTTGAATGGCATTGATTGATGATGTGGAAGAGTTTATAGAAAAAGGAAGAGAATTACATCAAGAGGAAAATAATGAGAGGCCAAGATATAGAACACAATAATAGAGAACAAGAATTTGTTGTTGACGGCAAAGTAAAACGTAACTATTGTGCCTTCAAATTGCTGGCAGGCAGTAACAATAAAAATGT